GACCTACTGGCTTCGCGCGCGAGCACTTAACCATTAGACCACTGAGCCGGCATCCAACGGTGTTAATGTCTAACTTCAACCAATCCACGAAGTTGCGCTACCGTACACCATTGTCTTCAGTGAGTTCCTGTCTCACAACAGACCTGGTTGAACTCCACTGGTAACGACTTCTCACTAGAACTCCAGAAGTGTCTCCTGAAGTCAGTCACTGGTGAGCAGGTGATTGTTATTAGGTCCTGGGTTCGAGCCCCGCGTGGTGCGGGGTCGTGGATGCGCACTGCTGAGGAGTCCCATACTAGGACAAAACGGCCGTCCAGTGCTTCCAGGTTTTCAATGGTGGTCTAGCTTCAACTGACTCATGAGTTCAATCTGTGAAAATTTCTAAAAATCTCCACAAAACACATTCTGATAATAACAATCACCTGCTCACCAGTGACTGACTTCAGGAGACACTTCTGGAGTTCTAGTGAGAAGTCGTTACCAGTGGAATTCAACCAGGTCTGTTGTGAGACAGGAACTCACTGAAGACAATGGTGTACGGTAGCGCAACTTCGTGGATTGGTTGAAGTTAGACATTAACACCGTTGGATGCCGGCTCAGTGGTCTAATGGTTAAGTGCTCGCGCGCGAAGCCAGTAGGTCCTGGGTTCGAGCCCTGGGTGGTGCGGGGTCGTGGATGCGCACTGCTGAGGAGTCCCATACTAGGACGAAACGGCCGTCCAGTGCTTCCAGGTTTTCAATGGTGGTCTAGCTTCAACTGACTCATGAGTTCAATTTGTGAAAATTACAAATTTAAATTAATGACAGTACAAATATGGACTTCGATTGATAATACATTTATCCTACTATCGCTTTAGCATCATTACTCTTGCGGCAGACTTAACGTTTGTCATCGGAGGAACTGAATTACTTGTCATGGCTATATATTTCAGCGCGACTTGAAAGAACAATAAAACGTTTTGTTCTTTTCATTATTTCTATGGTTAATCAATTTATGTTTAAGCAACGTCCCACTAACATACTATGACTCACTGTTTCCCGACCAGTTTCTGCCGCCTCCTTTCCATTTGTTTTACAGATAATTAGTACCTGGAGGATTTATAATATTCGTTTGGCACTCTCCGGCGCGCAACTGCTCACAACATGTTTGGTACCGATTCAAATGGCCGTTGAATCTGGTGGGGGAGTATTGTAGGGCCAGTGAAGTGTCACTGAGCCCTAGCCAAATTATCCGGCAGTTGGATCACTGAATGTCGAACAGATCATCGCTCCCTGTCAGGGTCATGTACAAGCAACGCGCATTAGTTAATCATATGCCATGGACGGGCCCATGCGGCAGTGGTCTTACTTTCGCTTGTATCTACCCTAACTAATATATTTCTGTGATAACGTCCTCTGTGTTGTACAGTCTTCAAAGCATCTATGGTGCCTTGATACGTCAATGGGGTAGTCCACGCAAGGTGCTGACCATGAGGTGTGACTTCGATGTTAGCTAGTTTGTCGCACCATTCACGTCTAACTCGAGTAGGCCTGCAATCATTTTCGACATAGATCGTCTACGTTGGTGATCTACACTGGTGAGCAAGACTTCGAGTATCGCAACCTATCACTATGATCTTTATTATTGCATTCTATACTTATTCTTTTTCATTTTTGTCATCGCCTATGTCAATCTATTACTGTGAACTTTCGTTGCATCATGTCAATGTTGATTAGCATTTAAACTTAAATAATTAGTTCAATCGATAGACCTAACTAATCAACTACGTTTATAATCGGCTATCGTGGTTCTTCAACAAGCATTAGCAGCATGTAAATGCTCCTGTGTAATATGTCTGTTAAAATATAAACCACTCGTGAGTATAGCCACAAGGCAACACGAACACACATCTGTTTGTAACTTATCCACTGGTATAAGCGAGACAAGGTTTACTGTCGACTATGAATCCATCATTCTACTTAACCACTATCCACTAGAATGTTTTACTTTTTTTGACCACTGCCTGCCTAATTCCCAATTGTTGAGTTCCATGGCCAAACAGAGAATACGAATGCTAGAAATTTACGGTGAGTTTGAACTAAAAATTTTCCGCAGTCTTAGATCATCTACGTTGGCGATCTACACTGTGAATGTGGAAAAAAATGTTCTCCACGTAGAAATATCCAGTGGGGCCGATAAACCGATTGCTTATCGGAGCAATCTTACTCTTCAGTATAAGCGAAGAGTTGGGTGTCACCAAAAGAAGTCCTTAACGACCGTTGTTAAAGCAGATAGATATATTAGGTACCATGAAACTTATAATTTTTGGAATTCAGAATGACTGGTTTGTGTAACCTCTGGACTGACCGGTTAGGTACTTGTAATCTCGGATAAATTAGGACACTACAAGTTGATGATGGTACCGACATCAATTGAAGATAAATTTATGTATAAAATGTACAAAATACTTGAATAGTTTTATTTCCGGTCATGTATGTGAAGGAAGAGGCTCAAGGAAACAGTTATATTTAGGTTGAGAAAAGGGACTACCAAAGGAGATGGGCTGTTGGACCATTTGCTTTGTTCACTGGTGTAAACATTTCTGCCATACCATATTGTGACCTCGTTTACGGTTGTGTCGTGTGGGAACTGCAGTTTTCGATTGAAATCCAGAGTCAGCGAGAATATCCAACAACCATATGAAGACTTTTATTTTTATTACTGTTGTGTGGACAGTTGTAATTGACATTTTGACAGTACTGTTTTACCAGTGAATGAACTTGCTGAAATTATTAAATAAACATACGCTTATGTCACTGCTCGTTCAGTAGTTCTAATTTGGCTGTCTCACTTAGTTAACTACATCGTATTACATTCTCCACAAGGAGGTCCATATTGCTACTGCGAAAAGAACAGATTTAGAACAAAAAATGTACAAACGGAATTTTTGTCTACGCACATTTATGCATGCATAAAAGCGCATATAAAACCCACAGAGTTTTCCCGTTTTCCTTGAGTACATACGAATCTCTTGAAACACGTTCAGAAGTGTGAAATAAGGTGAGTAACAGGATCAATGGACAAACCTTATGAAGATCGACGTCAGCGAACAACTAAAACTCTAATAGAATAAAGACAACAGCAGATAGAATCATTCCAATATGCGCGATAAATACAGTATCATCCAGGTCACCCCAATAAAGTAATTTTGTATGATGCCCATCGGAGGGCCTACATCTAGTAATCCTCAAATAACTAACGTTTAGATGATCTCACCCTTTCACATCACAAGTCCCCAATGCCCAGGTGCTCTCCCAGTCCATTTGACCCTTTGGTGTTAACGGCTCTAACCACACGATCCTCAAAGCTGGATATACGATAACTGTGAGAATTCCAATGTAAAATTTTTTTCAGACAAAAGTTCAGTAATAGTGTACGTGGGGATAATTAATCGAAGTGACATGACTGAGCTATGTAAGCATGGTCACTCTATATAACCTCTTGCCTTTTTGCATCAAATACATTGCTCTATCTTCGACCTAAATATGTTTTCTAGAAGTTCGGGATATCATATTTCTGATGGTTACGATCGGGAGTGTCAGTGTAAAGAATAATGGAACTACTATGTAAGATCGTATGGATCAGATAGTTGCATTATGACAAGTCTGCAGTCTTGTGATTCGGTCAATTATTATAGTAGCAAGGATAAATGTGCTAATATTGAACCAGTCCACAATTCTACAACCACACATCTCCCAACTAGAAGTTTAAGAAGGATATTGGGCCACTAAATACTTAAATATTGACTATCGTTTTTTCATGTAACTGCAGTTGAACATATATACACACATTCGGAGCATGAAGTTTTTATTCCCACCAAGTCTTGCAGTAAATCCTAGTTTCACAGTATTAACCTATTCTACCGTGTTTTGGCTCACATTATCTTCAGTTATTTATTAGCTTTCATATTTTCATTTAATTTCCTCTCCGCCTTATTCATTTGCTGATTCTTGTCTTCAGTTCATCCCTTTTCAGTCTAACCTTATGTTCTTGAGTACCGTTAATCATATGTATGGCTGAAAATACAATAGCATCTGGTTTCAGGAACTCTACTGTCCTGAGACAAATGGGATTATACTCAAAATATGTAAATTCACAACGCCCATGTTAACGCCTCTGGTTATCAAATTCAGATACCGGATAATTTGGAACTGAGTTCTTGTTCAGTCATTCAGTCTTGAAATGATAATTCGGAACAACACTGGCTAAAAGTAGGAGAAAAACGACCGAGTCGCTAACACCAGCCAATTTTCCCATAGAAATGCAAAGTTAGGAAACTTTCCACTGGAGCATTAGGCGTTTGAAGATGTCACTGATATTCAAGGATTGAAAACACTTGTCTCCAAAACGTCCTTATAACCGAAGGATTCCAAACTCAATCAAACAAAGTGGCAGAAATGAAGGAGTTTGAAAATATATTTGGTAGGTAGTCATTGTGGCGATCAGTGTTTGATCTGACCAGACCTGTTGTTGCGAGGGATGAATGGAACTGCGTAACCAATGTCAATCTGGTACGTATAAATGGCCAGGTACCCTCAGCGACATTGCATCTTATAAAACTGGTGAGGTCATCACCGATGTCAACGACTTACAGAACTATTTATTTTTGCGGTTTACTTACCGCTCAAATTAGCTGCGCCTGATGATATTTTAAATAAGGGAATATTTGCATTCTTTCATGTAAGGATGTAGTTTACCACCACTGCTCTACCAAGACGAAATGAGCCAAAAATGTTTCCTGAACAAAAGTTGTCATTAGTTTTGCTCCAAATAAACGGAGTATACGATAGGATTTGTTGGGCGTCAATCATAACTATGCAAGTAAATAAACTTCTGAGTCGACAGAGATTAAAAGAGATTAGTGGACTTCATTGAAAGCTCATCGATATTTATGGATAAGTGACTCAAAGGAAATAAATTAATCTGTCATTCAGTGTTCGGAGGTCGAATTGTTTATACTTACTTTTACGTAGGTCACTGGGAATTTAGAAACTTCGCGAATCATCAACGATGGGGAAGGACTATTACAAGATTCTTGGTATATCTAAAGGTGCAAATGACGATGAAATAAAGAAAGCTTATAGGAAGCAAGCGCTTAAATATCATCCTGATAAGAACAAGTCTCCAAACGCAGAGGAGAAGTTCAAAGAGATTGCGGAAGCGTACGACGTAAGTGTTTTTTTCCAATGAGTTCCTCGTATTAGGTTTTATCCGATCCTAAGAAGAAGGAAATATATGACAAATATGGTGAGGAGGGACTGAAGGGTGGACCCACTTCGAGCGAAGGTGGACAAGGCTACACTTATACTTTCCATGGTGACCCACGAGAAACATTTAGGATGTTCTTCGGCACGGATGACCCTTTCTCGGGGTTTTTCACATCAGGAGGTAGGCGTAGTACCGTAGGAGAGCCTATGAACGTCGATGATTTCTTTGGTAGCACACCTTTTGGAGTAAGTTGCACTTACATTCAGCTACATATTGTCGTTTATTTTCGTTAGTTTATATTGTATAAACTTATGTTAAGTTCATGATTTTTATAACCTTTCATTTCTCAGATTGATAATGAAATAAGCATCTCAGGGTTACAGATAGAAATACATATTTTTCAGGCCAGTTCGAGCTTTTGTCTACGAAAAGTAGACACCCTTTAAGTAACTTTAGACTGTGCTCGCTGTCCATTAACGAAGTTACAAGACTAGATTTTGTTGCCATAATCCGTAGTATAATATTTAAGTTAGGGAATAATTAACAGTCTGCATTGTTCATTGGACAGCTAAGTAAAGTTGGGAAAACTGAACGATCCATCCAGTCACATTGGATTTAATTTTGTTCTATTACCTGAGTTTCAATTTGTTTGTTTCAAAGCGTTCATACATAAGACTTACGGTTTTTTATGAACCATCGAGGTGTTTAATCTATATGCTACCAATGTAGGATATTTAGCACGATAAGGAATTGTTTGTATAATCATTGACATTGTGATTTGTCAGGATTTGCCCTAGTTTTGTGTTGACTGATTGCATTTAAAGATCTGTTGATTATACACAAGTGACTAAAGAATCCACAAGATTATCTGCCATATAAACATAAGACCTGGAATCTATGAAATTTCTAACCAATGCTAATCATATTGACGGTATACTTTTTGGTAAGCGTTTTTATCGTTATGGTCGATGATTTGAAGCTCATATGTTATTACTTATGCGACCAACAACCTCATTACGATCAAAACATGCGTTTGGGCAAAATAAGCTCAAAAGTGTTATAATGGACGCTCTCTTCGTATGCACCATTCGAAACGATCGATCTGAGATTTATCTTTGGACATACTGTTCAAAGTAGTGATAGTGACTTGTCACGTTTGTTATAAACTAACGATAAGTAATCTCTAGTGGTTTAGTGGGTGACTACTAGGCTTTTTTCCTTGTTTTCAAGCCGACAACAATTCTCTACTAAGGCGTCACCAGCGTAATCTGGCGAAAATGTGCGTCGGCCTATGCTGCCTAACCATGTTAGCACAGTAAAATGAGATTACCAGCTTGATTGACAAAAATTATTATTTTATTCATTTATTTGAACACATAGATGGTGGTACAAGGAGGCACCAGATACATATGCTCCACATAAATCTCATTTGATTTGTGTGAGGGCTATGATACTGCCCGGATGCATAAACTAACGCAGGTTGATTAACAAAAGTCAAAACGTTGTAGCAATAATGATGACAACTAAATATTCAGAATGGGATTTTAAAATATGGAGTGGAAACGTATGTTTTAAGGCATATTAGACTTTCAAATCGACTGGAAGACAAAGACTAAATGTATCTAAGACACCACAGATCTTAAATCATATCACCAAAAGTTTCCAGCCACTGATCGCGAGTACCACTCGAGCTTCTAAAGTCAGCGAAGTATTCAACACACCTAACTACTTCACTACCTTTGTTAGTTTGGGCGTTGATATAGACCAGTCTTAAGGCAACATCGTAAACTTGCTTGCTTTGTTGTTCGAGGTGATCAGATGAATCTGAATTTGACCAGCATTTTTACAAAACAGAACCAAGTCGATAAACGAATCTCATCGTAGACCAAGTGAAAGGTTCGGTGAGGAAAGTGTTACTTGCGGGAGCACGTGTATGACAAAACTAAACGAGAATCGAGACAGTCGACAACTCCAACGGATACCACTTGATATTATCAATTCTGATGACAATTCGCCACAAGCTCCGACCATACCAATGGTGTTTGAATAGAGAGTCTTTGGTGCTCCTTTTAGTGCCAAGCATTGTCACCAAACCGCTCGGTCAGCGGAGATGTGTGGTGTCTTAAGGTCAAGGATTACCGCTAGAGAGAATCCTTAGTGGACTCAAACAGAACTAGATAAAGTGATTGTCATTATTTGGGACAGCATTCTATTTCCAACTGGGATTTTTGCTGAAATACTAGAATGTAGTATGGTGAATTGTGTCATGAAACAATGATGTTGGTTAGATAACCTAAGCTGCGTGTGTATCGAAGTTGAGTGAACTGAGGAAATGTTTGGTGTGGTTGACACGGTGCAGGTAGTTGTTCACCAAATAACCTGACAGTCTCATGCAATCGCGACCCAGTGGTTGGATCTCAGACCGAAAAACCTTGACTCGTGGAGTGGTAACATCTTTCTCGTATCTATAAGTCCTCATACATTTTTAAGTGACTTGTAAATTCTATTGCTTCATTTTTTACGTACGTCTTTTCATTAGGGTTTCTTTGAAACTAAAAATGTCAGCACGACAGGTGGTCGAAAACCTCAACAGGATCCTCCAATCTATCATGACCTGTCAGTTTCGCTTCAAGACGTTCTTCATGGAACGACTAAGAAAATTCGTATTACGAGAGCTCGTTTGAATCCAGACAGACAAACCACTCGTCAGGAAGAAAAGACGGTTGAAATCGAAGTTAAAAAAGGTTGGAAAGCTGGTACAAAAATCACGTTCCCTCGGGAGGGTGATGAGAGTATTAAAGGCAATGTTCCTGCCGACGTTGTTTTCGTTGTTAAAGATCGAACACACAAACATTTCAAGCGTGAAGGAAGCGATGTACGTTATGTGGCTAAAATTAGCCTAAAACAAGCTCTTTGTGGGGGTACTATCTCAATACCAACAATCGATGAAGGACAAATAAACATCCAACTCACTGAAATTATCAAACCTGGGACAACCAGACGTATTCCACATCAAGGTCTTCCCTTTTTGAAGGAACCTAGTCGCCTTGGCGATATGATAGTTGAATTTCAGGTCGTTTTTCCAGATTACCTATCAAATTCGCAGAAATCCCAGTTAGCATCAATATTACCCAACTAACCATGCAAGTTAATTATTGAAAAGATGTGAACTAAAACTTGATTTTAGAAGCTGTAATTTTTTTCTGCCATAGTATGTATATATCAGTTTTCCTAAAGTTACTAATCCATCTTGCCTTCCCTGTACATGAAGTAAGATCGAATAAAGACTGGTGGTGAACATTTTTAACTGGAACGTCGGATTTCACAGGCATCCGTGAACCATGTATTCGAAAGTAAATCTACACAATAGTTTTCCGAAGGTTTAGACCGACGTTTTATTGTTGTGTTTATATCCCCACAGACTCTCCAGCTACATTGTGACGTTTGCTGGCAGCAATTGGTAGAGATTTATGTCTCTGGTAGCAATAAAATACTTTGGTTTCCCCATGCAAGACCTGTACCACATATAAGGACACCAACTGTCTGTATACTTGTAGTGCCATCATTTGTTTACTAGAGAAACAACTTACACCATATGCGACGGTTTCCAAGCGTAATAAATAGCCATTTTCTCAACTCTTCAGGCAAATCGCTTTTGCTCTTACGTTTTTTGGTCTTTTACCCCGAGTGGCTAGTCAGTTATCTAAACGCAGGGTCTAGTGACATACACTGCTCAGTTTGCGTTGTATAAACCATTAACATACTGCCGCTATCTATGATTCAACTCGAATTCTGAATCCCAGATTTTGAGATGGATCTCACTCATATAGCAGGATTACTCTTGTTACAACTAGACCGGTCAAAATAAACAAGAAAGCATCGAAATTCTACATGGCATCAAAAGTTGTGCTGGCTTTATGATTAGTAAACAGTATAGAAAACAGTCGGATAGTAACTGTAAATGATAAAAACTGTACGGAAGAGTAGTCTATAATCTGTCCGCTATATTTATGCTCAAGATCTTATTAGTCCTTATGTAGGCGATTCACTAATAACGGGGTATTTAGACATACTCAACTGGTAAGGTGCAGCACTTTTGTTCTGTGAAGATCGGGTACACAATAAGCTGGCTAACGATAATCACGAGATTATTGCAAAATGATAACGAATCAAAAAGTGTTACTAATTCCACGATCAAAAGTGTTAGGTAACTTGTAAGTCATACTTGTTTGGTTCCTAATTGACAAGAATCACTGACCGAACAACCGATAGGATATGTAAGATTTCGTCGAGATTAACAAAAGCAGAATTTCAGGTTGAATCACACTGTGAAAAGATGTGTTTAGTAGTTGTAGATTGCAACACAATAAGTCGGTTACATTTTCAGCTACAAAATGCTGGGAAGGCGTTTTTAGATTATCTACATTTATTTGTTCGGTCAGTTACCTGTAGAAGTATTTTTAACTCCTGATCAAAATTATCTCAACGGTAACAAATTCGTTTATCTGACCACAACCATCTATTGTGACTGAAATACTGGGTTCTTAGAGCTGTAATCATTTCGAAACAACATTTCCCAAATATAAGTACGGAATTTAGCCGGCATTAACGTTACACGGTAACCCAGTTTAACTAATTAATGACCACTTCTTTAATAGAAAAAACAGAGCGTGATACTGAGAACTTCCTCGTTGATTCAGTAAAATTGAGTATATTTGTGCCATTTGTTTTTCTAAAACGATTTATTTCGATATGAACTGATCGAACAAGTTGAAAGCCTACTTTTAATACTGTGACAAGCTCTGCAAGGCCATTATTAAATTTGGCTTTTTAACAAATAACATGCGCCTCGATTATTGGTTTTATTCGAATGTACCGTTATGGAGATTTCGAACACTTGAGTGTAGGTATTTATGGCAAGTTGTACGTTTTCGGAACCAAAATTAGTTCCATTTAATCCTAAAATACTTTCCCTCTTGAATTAGTGTCCTCCATCGCGACACCTGTGATAAATAGTAGTTGTTATTGTAGTGAACCTAATGTACGCACCAGCAATCTCTAGATCTGTTCAAATATGCTTTACCAGTCATGAATGGGATATTATTTGAGTATGAAATAAAACCACGAAGATATTGCTTAGTAATCAGAATAAAGCGCACAAAAACGTACAACAATATTTCATAACAATCAGAAGCCGTCTGTAGACTGAATATCTTGATTCTAGGATCTGAATCTATAGACCAAGATAGTATAAAATACGTAGAAAATGCGATTCCTGAGACCATAACTTCAAATAAAATTAGTGACTCACTGAAATTTAAGAATTTAATGAGGGTTTTTATGGTGAGTAGATACAAGTTAGGGGACTCTAAACCAAGAGGTACCAACTATATATGTACGCAACAATCTCGTTTACGTCACTTTAGTCCGAACATACGGCTAAGAAAAGATTCTTCAACAAAATCCCTTATCTATAAAATTGAGAATAGTACAACCTGATATTTGATTTTCTATTCACTCAAAAAAAAACTGGATGGAGTGTGAAAGTAATAAAAAAAGAACAGTAACTCCTGGAATATCATAGAAAACAAAACAGCTAAGTTAGTCACTAAGAAATTCAACCGATAGGGAAGCTAAGGTTTCTGCTAAATATTTGGAATAAATGGTTGATTTTAGGAAAACCAACAAAATGGTTTGTTTTGCTTACTCACTATTTCGTTTCGATCAAAATATCGTACCTATGTGGTCGAGAAATATACCAATTAACTTGATAAATTTAGCTGTAGACATTTAAGAAGTCGACATCGATCATGGGCGATTTAATTTTAACACTGTTCCCACTACATTCGAATGTCATCGGTTTGAATACACATAAAGTAAGAGTGACTTGTCGAGCAGTACCAAAGAACGACTGTCCAGTGTTCGATGCTTTCCAAAAGTCTAGGGACTTATATCCTTTGCGAAAATAATATTCGAAATAATTAGGACTCCGTAAAATCGTTCAATTCTATAACTAGTATTAATATCGTCTGATTTCAAGCATGAATAAATACTAGGGTGGTAGCCGCAACGCAATATTAGTATTCTGTTAGGTACGTTGTTATTGAGCACTAACGATGCACCAGTAAAATGACGGTTTTAGTTTGCCAAATGTAAATTAGATCTTGTAACTCTGACAAATTTGAAATCACCATTTTAACAGTAAACTATAACCACAAATTTACGGATAATTGAATGAGGATACTGGATATGAGAGAGCACTATATAAGAAAACGACCTCAACCCTTCAAAAGTAGAAAGCGCTGACTTGTAGAACTAGAATGCAATTTTTAATTGGTAGACGATAACGGCTGTAAAACCAGTGCTAAGGCAAACTGGGGAGGCGTTTTGTGTCATTTTACGGGAACTTGAAACAAATTTCTTGTGGTTAGGTTGATATCTTTTGAATATTGAGTCAAATGCTACTACTGGTGATTAAAACCAACTTCGCGATGACTTATACTCGTTGGTTACATTAAATGAACATTTGTTTGATTGGTCAAATTACTTGTCATTTTGCATAACATAGATTTTTCTAGGCATTTTTGTGCATATACACCATAAATCGGTAGTATCTTGAGTTTATCGCTATCCCAAACACTCACTGTTTATAGTAATAAAGGTTGTTTTTAAAAACTTTGAATAAATTCAAGATCAATACATACGATAAACTAACCAATGCATGTTTTAATTTAAGGAATGAAAGATGAATTCGACAACAAAAATCAAATGACTTTCAAACGTAAGTTGTTAAGGTACATTGAAGAACATGAACATGAAAGAGGAGAAAGTTGTCGTCTTGATTTTACGTATTTACATTCTTATTATTCATATTTACAAAAAATACTCATGGTATCGGTAAATATAGTTTTAGATAAAAAATCCAATTCAAAAAGTGGTAGATCATCTAATAAAGTAGTGGAAGGTTGACATTTATCAAAATATGGGATCAGTTTAGAATGAGCAGTTATCGATTGTTGCAAAGTTGCAACTCTGTGAACAGTACAAAGTACAGGATTAGCAATCACTTGATCCTAACGAAAGTATACGCAAAAATAAGACGAAAGAACAAAATATTTTTTAGTTATATTTTTTTGCACTCCTGGTTTTACAGGGCTTTTTGTTTATGCTATACAATTATTACAATAAATGGTGGCAGAACGAAAAAACTGGATAAGATGTAGGGAAATACACATGTCAATGTTATGGTCAGTCGATTTGTAGCATCGATGATATACAATAGGTAAGCCATTTATTTGCCAAAGTCTATGCCCTCATTTATGCTAAATGATTATGTATATACATAAATACACACTAGCTGTGTTGCTTATTCAAACTAACATTTCTTCCGATCAAACGCTTAAATCGATTTTCTAAGCTCTTCTTATAAACCCCAGGTTAAATATAAGCAACGTGAACACAAGAGAAACGGCGTGCAGTGTGAAAAAAGTTTTACTTCAAGGTTAGCTTGTTTATATAGAAAATTGAGGGTATTTCAGATGGCCCTGAGCTTCCGGAACTATATTGAACATAGTAGCAGAATAGGTAATCATCCGATAAGAAGTGTGACACGTGAATTTCCACTTTAGACTATTCTGAGAAACTCCTACCCAGCGTTGATGGGATAGAAAATTTTCCAGAGTTTTCAGGGCCCTTCTGGACATTTTGGAGAAACGCTTTGGATCTCAAACACAAACATACGGAAATCGAAGCTTCTTGAGCAGTTTTTTCCTATTTAATTATTTTTGTTGCTCGGACATCAAGAATCAGATTGTACATTGATAGTTGAGTGTGTAGTAAATTTTCTATCCTAGACTGACTTAGAGGTCTCATCAATAACATGACATTGACTTGTTATGTATGTAGTGTCCCTACTCGATTTGAAAAACACATTTGTTCAAGTATCAAATTGGAAGGTTGGGATCGCAGAATTATCCCATATATATTTTATCCCCTAGAAATAACCCTTCGGTGATTTTCACTGTTTGTCAATTTTTTTTATCACAGAATCAAGTTGATCTCTGCTACAGGGATTTCCAATTCAATATTTTGACATTTTAAAATAGACAAAGAAACCCAAATTAGGGTCCGTAAAACTACATAATTATTTTTTGTCCCTTGAAGTCCAAGTGTTTATTTCTGCACATATCGTCTATAATGAGGGCTAACAAAAAATTCAACTGTACGTACATGCGGTAAAGTACAAGGATTTAATCTGGGTTGTAGGTAATTTTACTAGCTGAATTATTTTGTACGTAACACTCACTCATATGTATGGACGATGCGTTTGATGTATCATAAACTGCAGTCATTCAACTTAAACAGATTAATGGAAACGTTAAACTATGAACATGAACAGAATTTATAATATCAATTAATCATGTGAATTAACATGTGCATTTATTCCTGCTAACTACTTAAATAGTAAACAGTAATTAGAAGATGAAAAGTTTCCAACTTACCAAAGACATACCAAATGGTCTTGATAAAAGGTATACTATTTGTAGTACTAAAAGAAATGGATTTTTGATAGACCAGTGATAAAGATTCATTAAAAACTGTTTGCTGCAATACACACTAAATGGATCACATCCAGTACAAGTAAATATTGTAGGTATAGTGGATGAAGTTGTGCTTGTTTCACTAAAGCGACGAAGAAGATGGTGATATTCACGAATAAATAATAACATACATAATTTGGAATTCGCATATTGTCTCATACTGTCATGCAATAATGTTGGGGTTGTCTGAAACATCTTTGTTATATTCAGTTTCTTAATACAGTGTTGTAAATTACTCTCTCTAAAAAATAAATTCATTTGAATAAAATATTAAGCGTCAAATGATAGAGTTCAGACTGGCAAACAAGGTTATGGATACTAAGACATAATTGAATGTGCAATGGCTGATAAGCATTGTATCTGGACGTTTAGACGCCTAGTCCCTAGAAGTCTCTTAATCTTGATACCAAAATAGAAATCGGGAAGCATAGGAGAACCTGCACTCCGAACGCGAAATTATGTACAAGGGTAGGTATTTTTTAGGATTATGGGTGACCTTGATGCTTTGGAAAATCGAAAGAATGGTAATAGTCAGTCAGTCAAACCCAACATACAACCTCGTATACAGGTACATTGGTCGGCGTTGCCATAAACCATTAGTACTGTAGTATGAAGCTGTTAGGGCAAATCACAGAGTAGTAGAGGTAGTAACAGTATTAGTAGTAATAGGAAACATTATGCACCGGAGATACGACCCGAAATAAAATACAAATAATTGAAATATAGAATTATGGTGAATTTATAAACTCAGGATCTAAAGAAAGAATGCAAACGATTTTGAGCCATAGAATATATGGGATGTGATTAGCAGCGGAATCCAGGACGCTTATCCTGTCTGATTTGGGACTCGTCAGTTAAGTGTACATGCAACCCATATTTGATGTTCACTCCGAAACTTGAATCTAGTACCGCTTGCTTCAAACGCCGTTGCGTTACCCACTAAGCTACCGAGTCCAGACAGTCACTTATGCAACGGATATAATATCAAACCTGGGATCCGGGTACACCAAACTGATGAGTCCCAAATAGGGCAAAACAAGCGTCCTGGATTCCACTGCTATTCACATTCCATCTATTCTTTAATAACGTGCGTCGTAATGGCTATATCGAGGCAATCCGCATAGGATGACTAAAAATGATCGAATTCCAGTCACAAATATCAACGGAATAACACGAACCATTGCAAATAGAATTAATTTTTGAGTCATATTATTTAGAGTACCTAGTCACTAGTAGCAATGATCACGTACACCCCATGCAGGTAGTTAACACTTGCCAACACGGTTCATCACATTTGTCGTTGACCTAACAGACCAGTACTGTTTTGATATGGCCGCCCGTAGCTTTCTTGCAACCTATTCCTATACCAGACAACATACCTATCAAGGTAGGAGGTGGTTGGGTATATATAACACAAGTCCTAACCACCTCAGTTGGTGAAGATTCACTACAAAACCAATCGATTTCCCGTATTTACCTAGTACTGCATACCTAACCTTGCCAATCTTCACTCAGTGGTCCCAAAGTACACGATGGGTGCTCTTAAGACACATATAATCAGATACTAGCGAGATCTTTCGAAGCGCACCTTCTAGCACTACTCAAGTTCAATCAATAGATAATATACAGAACACCTCGTGAACTCTATTCACGTTACCCAATCAGATACACTTTTCAAAGTCAGTCATAATCAAAAGAAGTGTCTCGAAGGGAATACAAACTAAAGACGTTCATGCTTCTCCAGTTTAAAGTTAAACACCACTTTTGCTTTCATTGTACCGTGAATCACAACCTTATTTTTATTTTCTGTGCTCAATAATCAATTGCTATCACTTCTTTTTTTTCAGATTAATTGATCAAATTTTATTACGGAAATCAATTGCTTTTTGTGAATGTTCGTCACAAGAACAACAAGCCTTCATTTAAAAACTATTTTCATTTTACTATTCCTTCATTATCCATTAACTTCATCATATAATCTCCTTTTCGATATTTAGGAACAATTTATGGCCTAATGTCATCCTATGTTCTAATTATTTTTAAATTTAAACACAAACATTGGTACAAGGAAGCACCAAAAAGATATGCACCACATAAATCATTCGATTTGTATAAAGGCTGAAATACTTCCTGGGTGCCCAAACCGAAACAAATGGTTGTCTTAGGGGAACACACACATGGAGAATTAGTGCATATTTTCTATCAGATAAGTATTAGACACTTGAATCATTGTTTTCTTATATTCTCATGCTTTTACGTTTTTGTTGGGTTCATAATCCACTGTACTGTGTTGTGCCTTCCTTAGGTTACTGTGAGTTTACTACAGAATTATTAATTAGATCTATTTCACTTATGGTGTAGCCCTGCGTACATTGTATTTTCCTTTTTATGCTGCTATGCATTCAAGCAACTAGTATGTATAGTCGCACGAATTTTGAGTTACAAACTAAACTGTGCAACAAGTTTATCTGTCTGTCGTACTTTCGTTCCATTCTGTTTATCGGACAGAAGAGCGGGGGAAGCTGCACTCTGGAACAACAGGAGTTAAGTACTGATCTCGGTAGTTATCTTACTGTCATTGAGTTATTGTTCAAAAGAAGGTTACTGAGTCATTAGTCAATGGAAGGTCATCCGACCTATACAACTGATCTAGCTTAAATAATAATACAACTAATTTCATGATAGAAGGCCCGATCATACGAGCCCGGTTACGACACATGTGTCTGGTCACTTAGTTAAGCTTAAGAAACTAATTATCACAACATGTAGGCCAGTTCTCAGAAGTATTATAAGCGTGCAAATTAAATTATATTAGTTCATAAAATAAATATATTTACGTACAGTAGTTTCTAATAGACACTGCAATAATTTATTTAGAACATATAAATACTGATGCAAATGCGCACCATAATAAGTATATGCTACACAAATAAGGAAATGAAATTTTAAGGAAATAGAAGAGGAAGGAGGCTGAGTATAATCAAAAATAAAAAGTGGACCGTAGTAGTATGACATGGAAAACAGTTCAGACAAAAAAACAACTAGGAAGAATTCATTTAAGTAAGGTAGTTTTTCTTACTTTTATAAAGAATGTAAAAGGAATCCAAAGCAGAATCGCCACCATTGATTCGCATTCTGAATTATATCTGATAACGTTTAAAACCGGAGTTGCACTATCTCTAGGACCACAAGGGAGGAGATGTGTTAAAATGAAAGGTGCCAGTCTTGTACAACTTTCATATCACAGTTCCATGTTATGATCTAACCATCTAACCTCTTTTCTCACCTGGAAATAATTGCACGAAGTGGGAACTGTTGGGATGACGATCCTAAAAAATCTACAAGTAACCGTGACCAGTGTTTCAAGTTGATGACAGTGACTGAATTAGTCACTGCTGAATCTTAACATCACTAACATAGTGTTGCCAGTGGATGCAAGTGATCCTTCAAGACAATAATGATCGAATAGAGACCAGGTTTCACACAACTGGAGCAAAATCGCTGTTACTAAAGCGTTGAAAACCCAACATTTTACAGCCAAACTGACACCACAATGGAACCAAACATGACCCACATTGGCACGGACCGTCCTGGCTATCACTAAATGCAATGCCAGCAATATTGTTTTTTGGAAAACTCCGTCCACCATCTAAGACATTGCGGTATGTTACTGATCGGTGTTCCATCAACTTTACATATTGTTTCACTCGCACCAGACTACCTGCTGCCAGCGGTTCGTACGAGTTCATGGTGCTTTTAATAGTTACCAGTTCCAGCTGCTGCTTTTAACCCTTCAGTACGATCCACTCACCAAGTTTCTCACAAACTTTGCACAATTTCCTTAAGTAAGAATCTACGTTCATCGTCGAACGCACAGTTAGCCGGAGTAAACCAACGAGCCTGTGTAAACGCAGTGCTTATAAACAAGACGTTTAGAAAAGTCATAAGAAATGTAACCCGCCATTTCCATGGTGTTATGTAAGCGAAGCCAATGCTCATGTATATTTTTTGATGGACTAGCGGCTTGCCTTGATTCTGGGCTCAGTTTGACCTTTGGTTGCAGCAGAGGCCACAGATGATTCGTTTACATCAACCCGTTTAGGATGGGAAGTTCGAGGGCCACAAAAACCTAACTAGGCATAAATCAAAACATAATTAAAGTCTAGATAGTTTTTCCAACAATAAACCACAGTCTTGTGAAAAATAATGTCAGCGGTAGCTGGCGGCGATGTAATCGGTCTTAATCTAGGCTTAAGAAGCAGACGGAGGACGCCAACTAGTAAATCGGCGACGACTGTACAGAAAGTTGGTGTTGACCAGAAATTTATTAGTCTGCGCAAAGCTTCAGAAGACGGTAACTGTTATCTGACGTGAAACCAACGTGTTTCCATTGGCCACTCAAGAGACTTCTATCTGTGCTTAGACGCCCGATCTGTGGATTCAGATACCCTGCTAGTACTACGTTATCTGCAGAACATACTTTCTTGAGACCATTCAACTGGTAGTACAAATTATTCTTGACTGCTTCCTGGATGCAATCAGTCGAGGCGTAGGCGAAAATTGTGGAAAATCATCGTTTTTCATACAAGTTTCTTCTCCTTTTGGTAAAATTTGTTAATCCAACAATACAAAAGTGAATTTTAGCAGGGATCCGATGGATAAGTTCCGTCATTTTTCTGAAGCTTAATGTAGCGTCAACATCAGTCACACTAAACGGAGATGCCGTAGGGTCCCCGGATAAACGTACGTGAAATAAGCTTTTTGCATTGACAGATGGGAAGTAAATTTGAAGTACCTCGCTAGAGTTTTGAGTACGGGTCTCTAACATAAAGTGAACACCAATCTCAGGGCTTTCCCAAGACAGCCAAACGTACCAGTTGTCCAATCTGCATCGATGTACGGTTGTTGAAGTTGGACATTTTGAATAGCACACAAGGTTTTAGACTCCATATTAGTTAGCGGCATTAAAAGTTAGACCAGTCGGCCATCTGAATTTTTTAAGACAAGATAGATTTTTCATTACTAACGAGCTGTTGCGTGAGTGAAGAAATAAAGACTATCGCCAACTCGAAGGACCAGACCTAAGAATGCTACGTCAAGTATCATGTAAATAACGTAAGCCACAAATACAAAAAGATTTAACTTTTATTGATGAATGTGGCATTTCGTAATTGTCTTCATGGTTTCTGTTCAGTAACGGACGATCACTGATATATAAATATAAAACTAGGCTACTGTAAACAATTGTTAGCTTATTCTATTATAACTTTTCACCAATAACTCGAGCGTTATTTGTTAGTAAACATTAAACATCTATAAATTATTTCACAGTGAAGCTTACTTGTGAATCTCTGATGAAACTATCACCACACGCAAAGTTGAGCTGTCAAATGTTTTGTCTGACGAGGTAGTTGAAAGAGAAGGTAAAGAATCAAATCTTGCTTTTAACAATCGTTCCAAAAACAAGGCAGGAGCTAAATAATTGCATTGCATTGATACTTCAAATCCGTCAGAAGTTAAATACGGAAAATGTTTAGAAGAACACTCACATGAATAAGCAGGAATCCATGCAGGAAATATCTTTTTCCCAAACCAACTGAATACTTGTATGTCATAGTTTGTTACAAACTTAAAAATAGATTGAAACCAGGATGAAACTTTAGACGGAATCATTTCACGCAAACAAGACACTATCCTACAATCAAAGTAAATACAAAACGAAGTAGGAATTAGGCAAGTTTATTTTAAAAACCGTGTGATTAAAATGAAAACCACCTAAATAAACCTTCTTCACTAGACATAATAATTAATGATCATTCGAAAAATAAAGGAAACGACAACTACTTACCAGGCTATACAGTTTTTATTTATTTATTTGGACACATAAACACTGGTACAAGGGGCATCAAGTACATATGCGCCACACAGTGAGGCCAGTAGTAGTTATTATGATTTTTATGAGGGCTGTGATACTTCCCAGGTGTCCAAACCGAAACAAATGGTTTTCTTAAGGGAACACACTTGGAGCCTTTGAGCTGGAGGTCTAATACAAAAGGCAGCGGGGCAACGTCAGGAGATGCAGTCCCATGGTAGCCGGTGACCAACAATATGTTCATACGCCATTTGTTCCCTCAGGATCACAGAGCCCATATACACCATCGGTTTGGAATCAGGGTTTTTCAACTCTCCTAGGTGGACTCTCCGTGTCCACCAACCCGGTTAAAGCACCAGACATTCGCTTTTCATCTTCTCAATTTCGTAAACAACACTCCCGTCACGAGGATGCAGTGAGCAGGACTTCCCTGGTAGTGGCTGTATACGTGTGGTTACGTGAAAGTATTTCGAGGAGTAGCGGACTTTCCTCACTCTCGGTCGTACCAGGGCATTTGGGGGCAGGCTATACAGTAAAGTATTTATGAAATTTTTTGTAATAATAGATTTTATTTGAAATCTCTTCTGTAAAAAGCTTATAGTATAGCATAGATCAGCGATGAAAATACATTTTTAACAATTAAGTGTATTACCAAGACTACTGCAATTTAAAGAACTGACTACTAACCCATTATAATATACACCAGTCTCTTCGAACTACGAAACTGAATGCTACTGCTAATCTTTACTGTACAGATTCTGTATTACGTTTAAGTATATTTCAGCCAGTTATTCGGCGATAATTTAGAACATGAAAAAACTGCCGAAATGTGCATCAGTGAACTACGAGGAAATTATAGTGTTATAAATGTTTGCTGAAATTATATCGTTAATATGAGCTACGGATACACAGTTTTACATTGAAAATCCTATGGTTCGGAAAACCTACTATATGGACCACAATAAAACTTAAACTAACAACAACAATAACAGTTACCTTGTAAAAGATTGAAAGAAATTCCAACCAGCGAAAGGAGGAAGCAAATCATCAGTTATGATACACGCATGAACAGGCCAGTTCAATGACTGTAATATCTACAGTTTAAAGAAAAATATCTCACTGAAAAAAGTGAAATATAGTTTAGTGTGAGAGTAATTTTTACCATGAACAGATATTTGCTGTAAAAAATGAACTGCTGTTTTGTCTGAGTGGTGTGCCACCATGAGTCCATATATGTTCGAATTCAACACCATTAGATCTTACGAAGAACATGTGACCCAATGAGCTTTGAATGAATAGTTTTCATGTCGGTTAGTTTGTAACACAATATGAATTACCACTTTAAATTCAATTTAGTTAACCGTATAGCTCATGAATGCTACATAGAACTTCAGGAAATGACTCTTGAATTCAGAAAAAAGAACAAACTGGCTTTTTAGTGATCAATGACTTTTATTTCTTTATTACCTGATGTCGATTATTCATAAAAGTTACTTTTAAATTGTAAAAAATCTTCATAAAAACAACTAATAATTTAATTTAACTTCAGAATTTAAAAGATGAATATTATGAGAAAGTATCAAAATATTGATGTAAAGGATATCCAGAAAATCTGTATAGAAATGTTACATCTTAAGGTTTCATTTTAGTGTGTCTGTATTCTATAGTCAAGTCACCCCTGTAGCTCGAAGATAGGAAATTTCATTAGTAGCTAGTGTCGTAAATGGTCGTAACTACTTCACCATTTTGTTATCTACACAAGTCTATCATCTTAGACCTTCTCTATACGGAATATTTGAAAGACTGAAGATTTTTCATCGAATAAATGACCATTTGACATAAATTAGAGGCAACTCACACGAACGGATTGTACGATGCTATGTAATTCCAAAGGATTATACGGTATCCAATACAGTTGACCTGATTCTTTATTAACTGACTTCAAAGTTAAGTCTACAGTGATACTGCCTTCATAATATCCCTTTGTTTTGTCAAATACAGCAATAGCATTTTCTGGACACTTAGTACAAGCGCATATAACAGTAGCTCCATATTGGACGAGATGAACTGCGATTGATAAACCAAGACCACAGCCTGAATTTGTTACAACAACGTAAAACCCACGGAGATCTTTATTTAATAAAATCTACAACAACAGAAGAAAATATTCTCAAATTATCATGAAAACAAAACGATTAATATTTTTTTAAAATATTCATACTAAACTCACTGTTATTATATTCGGATAACGAATCCTAAAGTATAAGTTATAGAATGAGAATTATTATTTTCGCGTACAATTTCACACCAAGTATTACGTCACTGTAGTGTGAATTTATTAACACATGAAACCAATTTGCCAAGTAAAGGTCTATGTACTTGAATTCGAACCAATTTCTGTGCGATAGCTATTAATAGCATCCGGGTATCCACACTGAAGTAGCTACAGCAGGACTAGGACAGACAACAACGTGGTCAAAAGTCGCTTAGTTGAACGCCAAATCACCATTCCATCAATTCTAGATAGTTATCAATAATTTTTAATAATTGCTTTTCACTTCTTCAAAGCGGTATAGACCGAACTATGCGTTTGCAGTCTAGTATCTTGGTTTAGTTTGGTCGACTTGAAATCTTATTCATTCTTATATTAATCCAACAACATTACAATAACTCGTCACTTTTAGTTAAAACTACGTAGTTAACTCCAACAATACTGGTTCTTATTTAATATATGTAGGTAGTGTCAAAAATATGGACAAGATCTTTGGTATCTCTCTTCGGTCCTGATACCTCAGGGGGGAAACGTTACTTTTGATCGGTCAGGTCATTCTAAGAAAAAATAAATGAAGAGTCAGTCATTCTACTAGACTATTAATGCGACAGCTTATTTAAAAATTTCGATAGAGTACGGAGACGGAGTTGATGCCCGAAAATTCGATGTTTTCGCGCCGTACATTTTGAACAGTTCTCCCTTGGGTATTGCAACCAAGCTCCTAGGTCGTCAAGACCACCCCTAATTCAGTTTCCTTTTCAAGTACCTCACGAAGAAGTAGCCTTTCACTATGTGGGGGACCGGGAAGTGACAACCCCACTTACACTCAAACCTAAATCTAGATCATCTACCATAGAACCAGTCCTCTACTTTATTAACTAGTATTTCTTTTGTTTGCTTTATCAATCTTTATCTCGGGAAGAGCAAAAGATAAGGTTTACAGAGAGCGTTCTGACTTTCAGGCGCTCGTAGCAGGTTATTTTAACACTCAAGTGATAGGCTAAGTCAAACAACGGCGACCGTATTTCCCAATGAATTTCGAATATGTTATTCCTATAACGTACAAACTTCAAGCACTGAAAAGGACACCATTTAACTTAGCAACCCCTAACATCAATACAAACATGATCATAATTAGACCAAATCGTCACCAGACATTGCTAGAAGCTCGATGGAAGACCGTTACCCCTTCTCGAGCATATGATTCGACTCCGACTATGTTCTATGCATTTTACTGGACACAAAATTTATAACAGGGAGATCCCTTACGTACCAATTCTTAGAGGGATTAATAAAGCAAATAGTTGAACTTCATCCTGAAGTTTGTCATGATATGTAAACAGCTATAAAAAAGCAGTTATATCCGCCAACAATTCAAATCAAAAGTTAAGAAAGACCAGTGGGTTTTGTTTGCATCTACTGAGTAGATAAATACTCGGAAACCCATCCCTTCAGACCTGAAGAACAATGAAGAGCAACCAAAACTCAAACGTAAACATAAAAGGGTTTACCCAATGGCCGTGAGTAGTGGTGGGAAAGTTAAGCAGAAGATATGTAAACGGCTGTAGTGTCAGGTAATACTAGACAACTTTCCAGACTTACTAAAGAAACACGTATTGAGAAGTTAAGTGCAAGTGAAACTACCTTTGAAAAAGAGAAGACCACGACTTTCAGTTCAAACGAATGGCGAGGCATTTCAAAAAAGCAATTCAACTATACTACAGCTGCCTACTACTCCGAAACAACCAGAATGAGAGTTTGAGATATGTCCCTTTATAACTGAATTTGAAAAAGCCACAGCTAATCTAAGACGAGGGGGGAGAAGTGGGACTTTATAGATTAACCCTGTAGATCTTTCTAGGTCGTGGTTAAAGTTTAGCGGCTAGATTGATAGAGAAATTAGATACAAACCTCTATATTCGTTAAAGGCTGTTGCTATGGAATAGCAAACCTGAGAAAACTAGACCGGCTCCAAACCTGAATGTGAATGTATCGACCATAGACATACTTACCGACGTTCAATCATAGTTATACTACATAAACTTGAAACAGCATTCGATTCCATTAGTCGACAAGTTTTAGGACGACATCTGTTAATAAGAGGTGTACCAACTGGTTAGTGAAGAAATATCTAAATAATACCAACCACACTAAACGTTTCCTCACTCCATTCAACTTCTTCCATATACACTCAGCTGAGGTTATCAAACCAACATCATTGTTTCATGACACAATTCACCAAACTTCATTCTAGCATTTTAACAACAAACTTAGTCGAAAATAATGCTGTCCTAAATAATGAAAACCGCTTTATCCAGTCCTGTTTGAGTCCACTAAGAATTTTTAGTGGCCCATAATCTGACTCCAATCGGATCCTGTTATGATCGTATGAATGATTGCAATTGAAATATACATGTCGCCGACCCTCGTATATAATCATAGACTTAAATCGCGTCAGTGAATAAAGCAATTAAATGAGTCAAATACGAGAATGAGGTTTGAATACGGTTATTTCGTACACTCATTTACCTGAACAGACAAAGCGAAGAGGAGAGAGAGAAAAGAAATGGATTGATGCGCGGTGGAGGTGAATGAGTTAACTCGATTTAATCAAGCGTCAATCGATATTTATAGTCAAACAAAAATAACTTACAGACATGTAATGAGTAGGATAAACAATGCACACACGTATGGTAACATAAAAACAAAGTTGATAGGCGAATAATTAATAAGGTCAAAATGTAACTCAAGAAGAATGAAAAAATTGGCCTGTCCTGAAGCTAGGATAAGCTATGTTGACATGGCAACTGGCACTACACTTCTCTAGTGGTAATCATTGACCTTAAGACACCACACAACTCCGCTGACCGAGCGGTTTGGTGACAATGCTTGGCACTAAAAGGAGCACCAAAGACTCTCTATTCAAACACCATTGGTATGGTCGGAGCTTGTGGCGAATTGTCATCAGAATTGATAATATCAAGTGGTATCCGTTGGAGTTGTCGACTGTCTCGATTCTCGTTTAGTTTTGTCATACACGTGCTCCCGCAAGTAACACTTTCCTCACCGAACCTTTCACTTGGTCTACGATGAGATTCGTTTATCGACTTGGTTCTGTTTTGTAAAAATGCTGGTCAAATTCAGATTCATCTGATCACCTCGAACAACAAAGCAAGCAAGTTTACGATGTTGCCTTAAGACTGGTCTACATCAACGCCCAAACTAACAAAGGTAGTGAGGTAGTTAGGTGTGTTGATCACTTCACTTACCTTGGGAGTCTCATCAGCCCAAGAGGGTTGGTATCTGACGAAACCTCAGCACGGATTCAGAAAGCCCATGTTAATATGTGTTACTTGTGACGTAGGTAAAATGCTCCCAGACGCACTGGTACGACCGAGAGTGGGGAAAGTCCGCTACTCCTCGAAATACTTTCACGTAACCACACGTATACAGCCACTACCAGGGAAGTCCTGCTCACTGCATCCTCGTGACGGGAGTGTTGTTTACGAAATTGAGAAGATGAAAAGCGAATGTCTGGTGCTTTAACCGGGTTGGTGGACACGGAGAGTCCACCTAGGAGAGTTGAAAAACCCTGATTCCAAACCGATGGTGTATATGGGCTCTGTGATCCTGAGGGAACAAATGGCGTATGAACATATTGTTGGTCACCGGCTACCATGGGACTGCATCTCCTGACGTTGCCCCGCTGCCTTTTGTATTAGACCTCCAGCTCAAAGGCTCCAAGTGTGTTCCCTTAAGAAAACCATTTGTTTCGGTTTGGACACCTGGGAAGTATCACAGCCCTCATAAAAATCATAATAACTACTACTGGCCTCACTGTGTGGCGCATATGTACTTGATGCCCCTTGTACCAGTGCTTATCTGTTCAAATAAATAAAGTACTTGTCTCCAAGTTAAGAAAAGCGTAGATTGAGCAGCATTTCGCTTTGTATTACTATATAGATGTGAAACATTATTTATGAGAGATATGTGTAATATTAAAGATTCCCATTGTGAAAATTAGAACAACACATAAGCGAACAATTGTTTTCAATTAGATCGTCATCAGGCTTTACTCTAATATACATGAATATTTATACCAAAATTTTAAACCAATGAAGGCAATATGGGTCAATAATCACAATGAAATAGAATAAGTCTTGAATAAGCCTTGATTGGTTTAAAATTTTCGTATAAATATTCATGTATATTAGAGTAAAGCCTGATGACGATCTAATTGAGATATGTGTAAGCCGTAAGTTTTTGATTATGGCTTTCTTTGAAGCAATGTTCACATACAGTGGAACGACCGAGTAAGTGATGCTGAGGTTTGGCATAGGGTTTTAGGTAATGACAAATCGCTTGACAGCATAGTAACTCTTCATTGACTGACAGGTATTATGTATGAGTGATGATGGACCACCTCAAAATGAGATGCTTGCTGGTATAACTGTAGGTTAGATGAAAGCTAGGGACCGTCAAACCTAAAACGAGATGTCAGTCTATGATTTCACAGTTGCTCTAAACCATGTTGGTAAATACAGACTACGTGGTTAAAGTTTTCTAGGTGGAATGAATCAGAATCGATCACAGTGGCGCAAATGCATTTACTCTTATTCTTCCGCTACATCTTGAGTTCCAGTATTTCTTCATCCATAGCTCTTCATTCAGCATTCTAGAATAACATTTGCAATGTTTAGTCCTTATAATTATTATTAATACAATTGTTTAGACTCCTTTCTATTCATGATCTTAATCTTGTCTCGTTATGGTATTGTAAAATGGCAACTTGAGCCAACGCAAATTTATGTCATGCTCTACCTTATGACTATGACTGAGTCTACACTCTGAGTTTACATACCTTGTTCACAGAACCAACTTACATCATTTACACTTGAAAATCTGTCAAATTTAAATTGAGTACTTCTAATTGATTTTGTAGAGTGGGTCCAAAGAGCAGCAGCAAGTCGAGGATCGGAATAAGTTGAACAGCCAGTTTCTAAACTTTTTCAAAGAAAAAAAGAGTTGAAAAAAGGATAGTACGTTAATTGTAATGACTTAGTTTGTGAAAAGAAATTCATGCTTAGATTATGTGAGCTTATCGATTATTAGTATATATATATATATATATATATATGGTTTGAAAAAGATCAAACAAGCCAAAAATGATATGTGTCGATAGGGAGAATTAGACCAGCCAGATATATTTTCTGCCTGACTAATTCGACGTAGCCAACAGGTATCTAAACAAGGGAAGTAGAGGATTAGACTGAGGTCCGCTTTTTCATCTTCATCTCCATAAACAGCAACTAGCTGTCGAACGCCACAAAGTATCTCTGCTCTGGAATCCTGGTCGGTTAAATCACGACCACAGAATCTTCCGTAGCATAGGACATAATTCAATTACCAATCAACAAATATGTTGGAGTGAATTCAGTTTATCAATCAAATGGGAAAAATAATGAACAGACACTAGGTCAAGAATTATGTTAACTGAAAAGACAATCAAAATAAAGGTGGAGACAAGTGTTGAGAAAAGCCTATTTTAACGAAACATGTTGTTAGTCACCTGTGGAGAAATCTTAGTGGCTCGCTTCCATCTGAAGCAGTACTGATTACATTGTCTAGAAAGACGATTAGAACTTCACGATTTAACCACATTGAACAAGAAAGCATAGTAACCCAAAATCATCCTCATGAGCTACAAATCCCCATCTAAAAACAAAAACGACAATGTTTGAAGACTATAATAAATTTATTGCATTTCCTTGCTTTCTTCTCGGTGTATTGTCCAATACCTATAGGGATCGGAAAACAATTACTTTCGCATAGTATCCAAGAATAATGATTATTTAATCAGCTTTATAAAGAACTGCTAGTCAAAAAAATAAGAGCATTGCAACCAGAGATGCCTACATACAAAGAAACTGTCGGCCGATTATTTTGTTTCAGGCGTTAGTATGAGATAAAAACTAATAGAGACAGAACTGGACAAATTTTGAAAACCGAAAGACAGCAAATGGTACATACAATTAACACATTCAGCCGAGACCAATAAAGCTCGTTCTTATTCCAGTTCACATCTTTAGAGGTATAAGAAACTAAGGAGCTACCGTTTTATATCATACTGGATGCAACTCTTTCCATATATATTAATTAGGTCAGCTAGTTTTATAAAAGTTAAATCCGAGTTACTAAATAAAGAAAAATTGATCTGGCTACAAATAAAAGTTGGTTACTCTTCAAAAAACATCTGCAAAGATTCCTACTTTAAATAAATTGTTCTCCCAGATTTGTCGGAGCAGGAAGACCAACCTTTGGGCAACACATGTGGTAATTGCTTAATATGACCTGAAATTGGATGAGGCCTTTGCGAAAGTCCAGTCAAGCGGCTGCACAAAATAAACAAATTAGATCAAATGTTTACATTGGCTTTTTTTAATATGATGAAATATGTAAGGTATTGATACTTGGTGTATGGCTTAACTTTCGAAAATGAACCACAGAAAACGACCATTTTACGCTTCATATTTTCCGCTTAGTTTTAAAACTTATTTAGCTTACAGACAAGATTCGTAAAAATAATTCAGAGGCCGGTGACCAACTTTCTAACGTAGAGAGGGATACATTTAGTTTGATTGCTGTCCAGTGATATTTTACTGACCCTGCAAGTTTTTACATAAATACACTACACGAGAAACAACACTTAGATTTTATAACAAAGTTGAATTTGGTTAACTCCGATGGTAAGCATTTTAGCTCTTATCGTGGAATAGTGAATAACCTCTTACATACCAATCATTTATCGTAATAACACTACTACTATATCATTTTATAAGACACAAATCAATTGCCTTTCGGGAAGTCTTAAGACTTCGAAATAATTATTTCAAAGTATTTGGTGAATCCGCCAAGTAAATCAACTTACTTGTAGTACGTAATGAAATTACCCTGACTAGTTTGTTCCCATTCAGCTGGCAGGTTGTCCTCTGAATCAGAATCATCCCATAGATTGACAGACATTCAAAGAGTGTAGACTTTGTTGGTACTGTATCTAATTAGGAGGGAAAACGCAAAATTCAGGGGAAATTTAGGGAAAAAGCGCAAAAATGAGGGGAAACTTGGGGGAAAACCCCCAAACTCAGGGAAAATATTGGGGGAAAACGCAAAATTCAGGGGAAATTTTGGAGAAAAACGCAAAATCTCTCCCAAATCGTGAAAAGGTTTGTGGTTTTATTAATAAATGTAAGCCGATTTCCCCAAAGTGTAATGAGATTCTGGGGAAATTTAGGGGTTTTGGTTCCATTTCCCTAAGATTGGGACAGTGGGAACTGTTGAACTCGAGATACATGAAGAATGGCCTGAAGATTTTGTTGGCGAGACTATAAACGAACCAATGAGGTTGATTAAGCCATGGATTCTGTCGCACGACTGAATCATATATGCTAACCGGGACGGCAAAACTCAGGTTCACTCAAAGTTGCCCTCCGTGTCGTAACGACGACCTTGAATAGATTAGTCTGTTGCGGCCATTTTAATTGCTGTGCGTTTGTTGGGTGTCCGTTGGGTTGCACGAATATTAAATGTTCTCATAATTAGGTAGTCTTTTGCTGCAGTAAAATCCCAAAACACTAATTTAGCTTTCTTTGTTTTATGATATGTCAGTTCAGTTAAAAGTGTTGGTTTTGATGAAGTTTTGTTCTCTGAACTGAATGGTCGTGGAGCTTTCATCGTTCTTCTGAACGACATCATCAGCACAAACTTCAGGTACTTATAATAGACTGTGTTGTCTATAGCTGTATACAAGCAACTTATATAATGTTCAAAAATGTTTAACGCAGAGTTGCTCCAACTTACATTTTATAAACAAATGCCATCTTCATCACCATCCTCATTAGAAAAGTGAATCAAATGTGGAAGGTTTTAGAGCCCATTTTTCAGGTTCGATTTATGCAGTAAGTACAGAAGGCCTAAGACCTATAATATTCCTTTTCTAGCATGCTTCTGTGATTGTCTAGTCTTCAATTGAATGAGTCAATTGAAGGTGCGGCACTACTTCTCCGGGAAACAGATTCCAAGAATTGATGACTCGGTGTTAAAAGCCTGTATGCCACTGGTATTTAGTTTGTTCTTGGTTTTTCTACTCGCCTGCTGTGTCCTTTCAGATGTCGCGATTTAGTGAGAGGAAAAAGGGAACATATTTTAGGTCCAAAGTTATTTCTTAGTATTCTACACATCAAAATCAGATCACCTCCTAATCTGCGATAGGACAGGGTAAAGAGATCTTATTATGGTAAATATCTGAGTTCTGGAATTGCATGGGTAGCTGACCTCTATATTTTTACCAGGTTATCCAAGTCACATTTTAAACAGGGGCTTGTAGCTCGAACGCAGTTTACAAGCTTAGTTCTCATTAAGGTTGTGTATACTGTAGTGAACATTGTAGTATCTAACTTGGTGAATGTTCATCTTATAGCTCATATGATTCCAAACCCCGTAGCTGCAACCTCCAGGCAGTGGGCCATGATCTTAAGATCATGACTCACTATCACCCCAATATCCTTTATCATTTCATATTCACTCTCTTACTTTATTGGGTTGAGAATCCAATCCTTAATCCTTGTTCTTTAATTTATGTACGAGAATAGTCTCTTAGGCTGCTTGATTGCAGATTGTGCTAACTGCATTTCATATTTTCTCTGAGCTTCCCGGATATGTGCACCTTTGCAAATATGGACGGTGTTCGGTCTTGATCCCTCAGATGATAGCTTCGCGCCATTGACCTTTCGACCAGGTAGATATACCAATTGTCTGAACCTGCGGTTCCTCTAATACTAAACAGGATTACCGTAGCAACGGACAGACTGTATTTCATTGATATACTCATTATTAAGGTAAAACTAACCTGTCTCATGACGGTCTAAGCCCAGCTCATGTTCCCAATTAGTGGGTGAACAAACCAACACTTGGTGAATTCTGCTTCACAGTGATTGAAAAAGCCTATATCGAAGGTCTTTTGCCTAGAAAAACTGACCACGGTCTATCTTTGAATGGATTAATGGTGAATTTCACTAACTTGAGCTTGTATTGTTATAAACAATCACGTTAGGCTGACCAAACATTCATCCAGGTAGTGAGAAACAACTGCGTCAAACTATTTATTAACTTAAATAAAAGCTGTGTAACAAGCACAAATATTACGAAAATTGATGTGTGACGGAAAAAATACCGTCAGCAGCAGATAAGTAACATGTGAGCGACAACCCGTAACCTGAATTCTTCACCGCCCCATGTTGGCCGGTTGGGATGTGGATTAACTCCACGTTGTCAAGTCATCTGAGTACATCGGAGCCGGTAGTAGCGATTATTTTTTTTGTCTGTTTAGTTTGGAGTAATTCCTGTTATAGAATCAATTGGAGGTATGTCTCTTCCTACCTCAGTGGAAAAATTCTAGTCAGGAAAACTTCTTGTATTCATTTGAACACTACCCTAAAAGTTCAAGTTCATATAGAAGAGTTATCACACCACATAGTGAGAGCCAAGATTATTCGAAGCTCATGAGGATGAAATCACTTCTGACGATAAATATTACAAATCACACACGAACATGAAGTATTCGAGAAATATGACGGACGAAAATGGTCCTTCAGATAGACGGTGGAGTAAGAAAACGCAACCTATCACTTCTTGGGACGAGTGAAGCTAATAGCGACCCAATCACACATAAGTGGACGAAATATTTAGAAAGTCTATGAGAGAAGTAATCGCTAACTCCAGATCGCTATCTAGTGTCCAGGATAAAAATGAAGCCAGAGAAACAATAGTCAGGTGGGCAAGCAGTACTACAAAAGTTTAGCAGAGCCTTCCTTCCAGGTGTTGTAGGGCCAGTAGAACGTCATTGAGTCATAGCCGAATTACTCATCAGACTAACTCATTTCTGAGTTAAACTATGGGTCACTGGTCATTGGAAAATCTATCGGACGTCTTGAAAAAATAGGGTTCATCACTTGAGTGATATAAACTAGTCCATACAGTAGCGGTTTTAATATATATTTCTTTTGTCTTACTAGTGCATTTCTTCAGCAATATGTTTGTCTTACGCAGTCCTCAAGTTGGTCTCGGAACGTAAACATTACGAAAGGGTAATCCAACTTAGGTATTACTCAAAGGTGCAGCTTCAAAATAAGCTAGAAGTTACATCATTCCCGTTCAACTCCAGTATGCCACAATCATCCACAGAGATCACCTACTTTGATAATCTAGTGTTAACAAGCTCAGTAAGCTCAATAGAGCTCTTAGAAGCAAACTTCAATACCAACAGGATTTACTAGGAGAGGAAGAAAAATTCCAAGGCAAAACTGGAAGGTAATTAAAGATGCGAAAAACCCAAAATGTCGGAGCCGTCTTGCTTAAAGAAGCACAAGAATAAAGGATGTATCTCTATGAAGTCCCTTAGAAATTGCTAAAAGTAAAAACAAGATGACGGACAACAGAAACCTGGGCAAAGTATAAAAAGCAAAGTCACATGCTGAATATGCTATGGCAAAAAACAAGTTGGGAAGAGCATTGGAACTGTTAAGCACAAACTTGTCGAATACATCGCAGATACAACCGAACAAACCGCAGGACAGATAGGAAGTTAGCAGCAACAATACCATTCTTTCCTTTGAAAAATCTGGGGGGAAGAACAGGTCGGTAGAGGTCCAATGTATCTTGTGGCAGAAAACACGGAGCGTAGCATATATACTTAAGTATATTCTCCGAGAGTCAGGAGTTAATTAGATCTATGTATTTCGGGTGTATGTATAGTGTGCTTGCATTTGTACTTATATGTGTTTTGGAGAGCATGAGTTTCCAACATTTGGATTTCAGGTGTGTACATTATGCTATTGCTTGGTTGGCACTTTGACACTAATAACTAGTGGAAGAACTAAGGAATGTAAATAGCATCCTTCCCTTTCAGAAAGGCATCTTCATATTTATGAATGCTTTGGAATCCATGGAAGTGATGTACAGAATGTGTTGTGAATGCGAATGAACCTGGCATTAAGTGCGATTCTTCTCCCTGTTTTCCGTTTCAGGTGTGAGTTGAGAGGTAGGTACAAAGTTTTTCTATTAATAGAAATTGAACATAGACATACAAACAACACCTGAAGCATTTCTGAAGTTACTGACGGTCCAAAACCCAGACCAACATATTTATAACAACCCTGGTGAAGTAGTTCACTTGAAGTCTAAATCAATCATTAGACTCATAAATCGTGGGATAAATTTATCTTTCACGAATTGGTTATGACAGGAAAACCAGAAATCGGAAAACGTGTGAAATATTACATTCGCGACAGTCTAAATCACTTTTACAGTCTACATCATTCTTCTTAAGAAGTGTTCTTTGTAATGTTAGTTGAGCCGGAGTGTACCGACTATTAACGTTTACTTGTCTTTTTAGGCGCTTAGTTTACCGTCTTTTATTGGCCCATTTAGGTTGGATCCTTTCTCGCTGCTTCTCTTTCGAGTTCCGTCGTGTAGATAACTTGGAACAATCAGCAGTTGTTCGCAAGAAACATATAATAATAAAGCAATATGAATTCCTCTTCGTTCACTTTCTATCACTGTGGTAATTTTCCTTTTAGTCCACTACGGTTCTAACTTTTCTTACTTCCTATGGTATAGCATCGTCTACATAAAATGCCTGTTTGTCACATCCACCTCGGTCGATATTAGAGAATAAACCTTGTAGGGATTCATTGAGTATCGTAACATACTTTACCCTACACTTTCTTCTAAGCTTAATGACATCTAAAGCGCAGGTCTGTCTGGATTTCCGAAATAATTATTTGTGTCTTCAGTTTCAAGAAACATAAGTACCGGCTAGATTGTTTTCCTTCAGAGGAAGAGTAAAAATCCTATCATTGGAAAATAGGGGAGAGATTTTGATTGGTGTAAATTCAAAAGAGTACAGATAGTTTAGTGATTCACTAGAAATATTTTGAGGATACCCTTTAAACCCTTTCCTAATAAGGATTCTCGTAACTTTCTAGTATAAACAGTGTGCATAACTTCTTTTTCACTCGCTTACCAAACGTTATATTCTGCAATATTTGAACCAAGAACTGATAAGGTATGGGTACCCCTGCACAGAGCTGGAGTATATTCAATTTCTCAACGTCACCCTCTTGACGGATGAATGTGAGATCAAGTGGTCATGACGCTAAATTCTGGTTTTACGCATGCATTTGATTGGGCAGCCAACTATTCCACACATTTACTTTTCATGATATATGTTATCAATAGTATTCAAGGAGATTCTATTTCAAGTGATCACTGCTGCTCTTCCTCGTTCACATTTGTGAGTCCTCTCAGTCTCACTACTTCAAACGTTTCGAAGCTCAGTGCCTCCTTACCTGTAAATTGGCATGCCTCACATAAAATTGTTATTCTAGAATACGTTATTATTATATTGTTCAGGACCAAAATAACCACGCATTTGGAAAGAATTAATGTTGTGCATCAATATGTGAATGTCCCGCTGCGTCAAACGACCTTCAGAAAATAGTATAATCGACC